ATATACGCTTCAGCATCAGTGATCCTTGAGATGCTTGGCTATAAGAGCAACCATGGGAGCCATGAGATATGTTACCCACTATGGAAAAGACAGTTGGAGGCGAAGATCAAGGCAGCTCGTAAAGATGTGAGTCAATTGATGGAGGCCCAGAGAGGTGTGATGAAAAGGCCGATACCTGAGAGGTACATCCAGATGACCATACCTGAAGCACTCGAAACTGCCAAACAAAGGCTCCAAGCCTTGTCCAGTCGCCTAAAGAGGTACACGCAAGAGAATGAGGCCAGACGAATAAACAGGCTGTTCGCAACACAACCTGCGAAAGTGTACGCTCAGTGGCAGGGTCCTAACAGCAGAGCTGACCCACCAAGACTGGAAACTGAAAGGTACTGGAAAGGCATATGGGAGAAGGAGTTTGCACATAACAGCAGTGCACAATGCTGGTGACCCTGAGAGAGGAGTACAGCAACCTCCCTGAACAGAACCCAGTTACCATAACAGTGGCAGACATACAGGAAAGAGTCTCAGATATGAAGAACTGGACAGCACCAGGCCCGGACATGGTCCACACCTACTGGCTAAAGAAACTCACAGTACTCCATGAGCGCCTAGCAACACAAATGAAATAGTTGCTGAGGGATGGGACTCACCCAGGATGGCTAACCGAAGGGCGAACAATCATGATCATGAAGGATCCCTCAAAGGGTGCAGTCCCATCCAACTATCGGCCAATAACCTGTCTCTCCACAACATGGAAGCTCATGTCAGGCATCATTGCGGCTAAGATAAGTGGACACATGGATCAATACATGAGCGAAGCACAGAAGGGCATTGGTAGAGATACCAGAGGAGTCAAACATCAGCTCCCGGTTGACAGAACAGTCGCACAAGACTGCAGGTGCCGACACACCAACCTGTGCACAGCCTGGATTGATTACAAGAAAGCTTATGACTCGATGCCACATACATGGATCAATGGATACTGACTAAAGCAATGTCGTCCACACTGAAGGGGTCTCACTCTCTGAAGGAACAATCGCAGACATTGAGGACAGCTCCAAGTACCTAGATATACCACAAGCCAATGGCAACCTCGAACTGGCAACAAGGAAAGCGGCTATGGCCAAATACCTCCAGCAGGTGAGGCAAGTCCTAAAAAGCCAGCTCAATGGCAAGAACAAGACCCGGGCAATAAACAGCTATGCCCTGCCAGTGATCAGATACCCTGCAGGAATAATAAGGTGGCCAAAGGAAGAGATTCAGACCACGGATGTTAAGACCTGAGAAATAGGCCTGTGGCTAGCTAACTGATTTGGAATTTTTCTGACCTTTTGCATCGGCCGGATGTCATCAATATGCCATTCTTGCGGGACTTGGAGTGTGGACCATGATTTGTTCAAGATCCCAGTTCAGGCATTCAGCGCATTTTCACCGATATGGTGTACAAGACGTGGATGATGTGGTCACTGCTTTCACCTCTTCTGTCGTAAATTCCACCTTTATGGGCGCTTCATCAACTTGCTTTCGCAATTTGCCGTTGGTAAGCCCTTTCATTCCTCGGTCATCTTACTATGTGGTCATACTTAATGAACCCATTGGCTTTGTCTACATTACTGATTAATTGTTTTTCACCATCTATAATGATTCTTGCCGGATCTTTCCTTGCTGGGTTTGTTCAGCTTCGAAGCACTCTCCACATTTGTGTCTTGCCCTTCACTGAGATAATCTTTCTTTGCCAAATTTCCAGCTTTCTTTCCTTTCCAAGTTTTTCACTTCCTCATCTTGTTCTTTAAACCTTTCGCTGCGGAAACCACCTTGCTCTCGCAGCCGATCTTTCTTCCTCAGCTTGGGTAATTTATTTGGTCTTCCAACATTGATTTGTCATACCAACGGCCTTTAATCCATGATGCTGCTGATGGACCTCTTTCCTCCAACGATCCAGAAACCAGCAGCTCTTACAGCTCCTTCTCTAAAATGTCTGCCTTGGTGGCAAATTTTCTCATAGAAGTGCCGGATGAGTAGTAGAGCGATGTGATGTTTGGCTGGTATAAGTATCGGGTGCAACTCATCTGATGTGAGCTTGGCTCTTTGTAACCGACCTCCAACTCTGAATATGATCTGTGTCAATGAAGGGACAAAGCTTGCTGAGCGGGCTTGACTTCGGTACGGTCCGCCCTTCTTTGAGATGTTTGATGTCCTCTGCATACACTTCTCTCTGGACAGTGCGAATGATGGTAGCTTTGGCTTGCTTGAGCTGCTCTTCCTCAAGATATTTGTTGCACTTATGCCAGCCGTGACAAATGTTGTCCTCGCACCTCTTGATGAAGGATCTTGCAATGTGTCCAAGCCTGGCAACGGCTTTCAGGAGAGGGCTCCAAGAAGAGAACTGTCCAAAGCATGCACTGCCAATCATCACCTTGAGATGTAAAGAACTTTACATCATCCAGTGTCATGTCCAATTCTTCTTGGAGTAGATCAGCTATCACCACGGCGAGCACGGCGGCGCAGAGCTCAAGTTGTTGAACTGTAATCTCTGGCTTTGGGGCAAGTTTTGCTTCACCGAAGATGAACCCAACTTCATTGTGACCTCTGTCATCTGTCACCTTAAGATAAGCAACAGCGCTTATTGTTTTGGTGGATGCGTCGCAAAAGATGTACATCTCTCTTCTCTGAGCTGCAGACAGCGGGAGTGATGTATACATTCTTGGAATTTTCAAGTCTTGGAGGTCTTGCAAGGAATCCCTCATCTTTGGCACTTCTCATGACTCGCCTTTGGGAGTAGTGCATCCAGTCACTGGTATCAGAAGTAATGTCTCTTAGTATTGAACGACCCTGGATGCTGACAGGTGCGGCAAATCCAAGAGGATCGTACAAACTATTGATAGTGGACAGTACACCATGTTTTGTGAAGCGTTTCTCATTGATTGCCACTCGAAAGTGGAATGTGTCTGTGGACAGGTCCCACCCAAGTTCTTGACTGCGCTGCATGGGCGTGAAATCATGCCCAAACTCACGGCCTTGCAATTCTTTGGCGAGGTCTTCATCCGGAAAGGCTCTCAGACGTCTGGGCTGTTTGATGCAATTTTATGCAACTGAGATTGGACTGTACAAACATGTGTTGAGCCCTCTTCAGCACATCAACCGCTTCCTCCACCCTGTAGAATGACTTCAGTCCATCGTCTACATCTCCTTCCATGGCTGTCCTCTTAATGCTGTAGATGGCTACGGCTAGGGACAAGCAATTCCCAAACACATACACCTTCATACGAAATTCCACGATGTCTCCATCAAGCTCGTGGTCTTGAAACCAAAGAAAGTGTAAATAGTTACGATGCTCGTCCTTGACTAAGAAGCTGTGGACATCTGTTGTACATCAGCCATTACTGCAAAAGGTTCAGACCTGAAGTGGAAAAGCACACCAATCAGACTGTTTTTTAGATCTGGGCCCATGAGTAAAACATCATTCAGAGATACATTGTGGTACTGCGCACTCGAGCCAAAGACGACCCTGATCTGCCTGGGCTTCTGTGGATGATGGACGCCAAAGCTTGGCAGATACCAACACTCTTCATCGGATGTAAGAGGGGGAGCTGGTTCTGCGTGTCCGGAACGGAAGATCTTTTCCATGAATTCTACATAGTGATCTTTCATCGTCGGCTTCTTCTTCAAAGTAGACAGAAGACGGTTGAGGGCTTGTTCCCTATTGTTTGGCAAGTGCTGCCTTGGAAGCCGTTAACGGAGCAGCCCAACTGTTGGAGTCATCCTTTGAGAACTCTTCATTCATGATTTGGAGGAAGATCACGTCTTTGACAGAGAGTGCCAGTTTATCATCCTCAGTGCTGTGAGTGCACTCCATTTTATTGTCTCTCATCATTGTTTGAGGTAGGCATTAGCGTGAAGGATCTTGCCCAAGGACCCACACTGGATGGTGTTATGTGCTCATTTTTACCCCAAGCGGGATTCGAACCACGGTCTCCCATACGCCAAACCGATGCCTTACCAACTGAGCTATCCAGCCACTATATTGAGGCGCTGGAAGAGGGACCATCATGGGAGGACAAGCCCCTACACGGGATGTACCACCGGACCATAACTGAAGTGGCTGATCTCAAG